TAAAGAAATTCGTACATTTACCTGTCTCGAAAATAAATAACTTTATTGTTTTAATACAAATATTATAGTATGCGAAATTTACTTAGTATTTAATAGCTATTTTTGGTGGTGAGCTGATTAGGAATATAACATTTTATACAATTTCTAGTTAATTTGATAATTTTTTAAAATATTATTGCTTTTAAAAAAAAAAGATTTGAAGTGAATAAAAAAACTTTAGTTCAGTTCTACTTCAGTTCCAGTTCAGTTCTAGTTCAGTTTTAGTTCGGTTCTAGTTCAGTTCTAGTTCAGTTCTAGTTCAGTTCTAGTTCATTTCTAGTTCAGTTCTAGTTCAGTTCTAGTTCAGTTCTAGTTCAGTTCTAGTTCAGTTCTAGTTCAGTTCTAGTTCAGTTCTAGTTCAGTTCTAGTTCAGTTCTAGTTCAGTTCTAGTTCAGTTCTAGTTCAGTTCTAGTTCAGTTCTAGTTCAGTTCTAGTTCAGTTCTAGTTCAGTTCTAGTTCAGTTCTAGTTCAGTTCTAGTTCAGTTCTAGTTCAGTTCTAGTTCAGTTCTAGTTCAGTTCTAGTTCAGTTCTAGTTCAGTTCTAGTTCAGTTCTAGTTCAGTTCTAGTTCAGTTCTAGTTCAGTTCTAGTTCAGTTCTAGTTCAGTTCTAGTTCAGTTCTAGTTCAGTTCTAGTTCAGTTCTAGTTCAGTTCTAGTTCAGTTCTAGTTCAGTTCTAGTTCAGTTCTAGTTCAGTTCTAGTTCAGTTCTAGTTCAGTTCTAGTTCAGTTCTAGTTCAGTTCTAGTTCAGTTCTAGTTCAGTTCTAGTTCAGTTCTAGTTCAGTTCTAGTTCAGTTCTAGTTCAGTTTCTAGTTCAGTTCTAGTTCAGTTCTAGTTCAGTTCTAGTTCAGTTCTAGTTCAGTTCTAGTTCAGTTCTAGTTCAGTTCTAGTTCAGTTCTAGTTCTAGTTCAGTTCAGTTCTAGTTCAGTTCTAGTTCAGTTCTAGTTCTAGTTCAGTTCTAGATCAAGTTCTGTTCTAGTTCAGTTCTAGTTCAGTTCTAGTTCAGTTCTAGTTCAGTTCTAGTTCAGTTCTAGTTCAGTTCTAGTTCAGTTCTAGTTCAGTTCTAGTTCAGTTCTAGTTCAGTTCTAGTTCAGTTCTAGTTCAGTTCTAGTTCAGTTCTAGTTCTAGTTCTAGTTCAGTTCAGTTCTAGTTCAGTTCTAGTTCTAGTTCAGTTCTAGATCAAGTTCTGTTCTAGTTCAGTTCTAGTTCAGTTCTAGTTCAGTTCTAGTTCAGTTCTTGTTCAGTTCTAGTTCAGTTCTAGTTCAGTTCTAGTTCAGTTCTAGTTCAGTTCTAGTTCAGTTCTAGTTCAGTTCTAGTTCTAGTTCAGTTCTAGTTCAGTTCTAGTTCAGTTCTAGTTCAGTTCTAGTTCAGTTCTAGTTCAGTTCTAGTTCAGTTCTAGTTCTAGTTCAGTTCTAGTTCAGTTCTAGTTCAGTTCTAGTTCAGTTCTAGTTCAGTTCTAGTTCAGTTCTAGTTCAGTTCAGTTCTAGTTCAGTTCAGTTCAGTTCTAATTCAGATCTAGTTCAATTCTAGTTCAATTCTAGTTCACTTCTAGTTCAATTCTAGTTCACTTCTTGTTCAATTCTAGTTCACTTCTAGTTTAGTTCTAGTTCAGTTCTAGTTCAGTTCTAGTTCAGTTCTAGTTCAGTTCTAGTTCAGTTCTAGTTCAGTTCTAGTTCAGTTCTAGTTCAGTTCTAGTTCAGTTCTAGTTCAGGTTCTAGTTCAGTTCTAGTTCAGTTCTAGTTCAGTTCTAGTTCAGTTCTAGTTCAGTTCTAGTTCAGTTCTAGTTCAGTTCTAGTTCAGTTCTAGTTCAGTTCTAGTTCAGTTCTAGTTCAGTTCTAGTTCAGTTCTAGTTCAGTTCTAGTTCAGTTCTAGTTCAGTTCTAGTTCAGTTCTAGTTCAGTTCTAGTTCTAGTCAGTTCTAGTTCAGTTCTAGTTCAGTTCTAGTTCAGTTCTAGTTCAGTTCTAGTTCAGTTCTAGTTCAGTTCTAGTTCAGTTCTAGTTCAGTTCTAGTTCAGTTCTAGTTCAGTTCTAGTTCAGTTGTAGTTCAGTTCCAGTTCAGTTCTAGTTCAGTTCAGTTCTAGTTCAGTTCTAGTTCAGTTCAAGTTCAGTTCTAGTTTAGTTCTAGTTCAGTTCTAGTTTATTTCTAGTTCATTTCTAGTTCACTTCTAGTTCAGTTCTAGTTCAGTTCTAGTTCATTTCTAGTTCAGTTCTAGTTCATTTCTAGTTCAATTCTAGTTCAATTCTAGTTCAATTCTAGTTCAGTTCTAGTTCAGTTCTAGTTCAGTTCTAGTTCAGTTCTAGTTCAGTTCTAGTTCATTTCTAGTTCAGTTCTAGTTCATTTCTAGTTCAATTCTAGTTCAATTCTAGTTCAATTCTAGTTCAGTTCTAGTTCAGTTCTAGTTCAGTTCTAGTTCAGTTCTAGTTCAGTTCTAGTTCAGTTCTAGTTCAGTTCTAGTTCAGTTCTAGTTCAGTTCTAGTTCAGTTCTAGTTCAGTTCTAGTTCAGTTCTAGTTCAGTTCTAGTTCAGTTCTAGTTCAGTTCTAGTTCAGTTCTAGTTCAGTTCTAGTTCAGTTCTAGTTCAATTCTAGTTCAATTCTAGTTCAATTCTAGTTCACTTCTAGTTCAATTCTAGTTCAGTTCCAGTTGTAGCACAGTTCTAGTTCCATTGTGATGCAGCTCTAGTTCCCTTCTAGTTCATTTCTAGTTCTGTTGTAGTGCAGCATAGTTCTATTATAGTTCAATTCTGATCTTTATAAAAGAACTTGTTCATAATTTTATTTTGCAAAATTACGTTGTAATTTAATACTCTTCATTAATTTAGTTTTTTTGACGCAAATGAATATGACATCATTAACACACAAACAAAAACAAACTATTATATTGTAAAAAAAAACTATAGAAAAAACAACAACAATAAATATTTAATTAAGTTGAAGCTTTATAAAAACAAAGAAATATATTTTTGTTTTTAAAGAAATAGTTAAACAACAAAAATAACACTGTTTTAAATAGAAAAAAAATAACAAAACAAACACAATAACAAAAGTGTTTAGAAAACAAAGAAGAGTAGTATAGCCAGTGTTGTCATATTAGCATTTCAAAGCAAAACAGATGTTTGGTATTTACCTTTTTTTTCAAAAATAGAGATAATTTTAGAGAAAAAAAATGCAGCAATATTTTGTAGTTTGTTAGATTTTTTATTTAAAATACTAATTTTTATTACATTAAATGAATTTAAACTTTTTTAGTGTCTGCGAATAAATGTTTTGGTAACATTGGCAGTAGAAGATGAGAGCAAATAAAATAAAAAACAGCTGTTATTTGTTGTTGCTTGCAGTTTTTTCTGTTTTATCAATGGAAATTGTGGAGGGAGTTAAAAGAGAAGAGAATAATTGAAGTTGCATAACCAAAAGAGAATAGAAAAACAAATAACAAACTTCAGAAAGATGTAAATATAACCATGAAAGAGAGGGTGGTGGGCGAAGTGTAATAACAATTGAAATGCTATAAAATTTATAATTAAACTAAATTGTTATTTAGCTTTTAATGTATAATAACTTACTTCTTCTTATACTAAATAAACTTTAAAAAGAAAAAAACTTAAAACGCAATTTAGTTCAATAAACAACCCCGAAAATAGGTACCTAGGTATCAAATTTAAAATCTAAAATTAACTTGTTTTTACGATAACTATCCCCTCCCTTATGGAAAACCTCACCTGTCACAATAGAAGATTATTTAACAAACCAACCCTTTAAAAAGAAAAAAAATGTGCCTATTTGGAGAAGGGGGAGGATGGTAATAAAATATTCTATATACCTTTCTGTAACCTCCCCCCACACCTTTTCAAATACATATAATTTAAACCAACAGCTACTGAAATATAAGGTTTATTTAAAACCCAATAGGTAGATACTATTTGTTAAACCAAAAAGTGACCTTAGTTTTTAAGCATATCAAATTCTGCTGAAACTACTTTCAAGGTCTACGTATGAAAATTAAAAAATACAAAAAAGTTTAATTAATTTATTAACTTACGTAAAGTCCTGATTAAAATTCATAATATATCCTTCAGCCATGGTAGATGACATTAGTTTTTCTTTTATTAATACTTGACAAAATAATTTTTTAAAATTTTTACACAAATCAATTGTAATTGCTTTTTCTTTTTTTGTTACACTTTTTGTAATAATATCTATACTACAAAAATAAACACTGTAGTTTTCTTTCTTTCTAAAAATATATTTATTTTTCTTTAATTAATTTGTTTTTTGTGTATGTGTATTTTGAAAATTCTTCGTTAATTTTCTAAAAATATTCGTTAAAATCTCTTTTTATTTATTTTGCAAATTGTTTTATTATATAGAGTAATATATAATTTTTTCTTTGTTACAAAATTATTTTTTTTTTTCGATTTTTTCACTCACTGCTATGTATTTTCTAACGTTAATATAAACTTCACTTTTCTGCTGCACTTTTGTTACTAAAATAAAAATATACAACAAAAATAAATTTTTGTTTTGATTTTGTTTTCTCTCAATATCCGTTTCTATAGCTTTTTTGCTATTATTGTTTTTTATTCGTTATTCTTCATTCGTATTTTCTATTGCGTATTCTCTTATCTTTATTTACACTTTGGGTTTGTTTTTTTCTATTTTGTTTTTTATTGTTTTCAGGTGAGTGCTGTTGACTTTTTGTAAATTAAAAACGGTTATAATGTAAAAATCGCTAGAAAGAACAATAATAAAGTAAGGGAAAAGATAAAAGGTTTATTTTTATTGTAAATAAAAATGTGTAATTGCAAATAAAGCTGCGGTCTTATATTTCATAATAATATTTCGAATATTCTACTAATCCAGAGTCAACTGAACTGAACTAGAACTGAACTAGAACTGAACTAGAACTGAACTAGAACTGAACTAGAACTGAACTAGAACTGAACTAGAACTGAACTAGAACTGAACTAGAACTGAACTAGAACTGAACTAGAACTGAACTAGAACTGAACTAGAACTGAACTAGAACTGAACTAGAACTGAACTAGAACTGAACTAGAACTGAACTAGACTGAACTAGAACTGAACTAGAACTGAACTAGAACTGAACTAGAACTGAACTAGAACTGAACTAGAACTGAACTAGAACTGAACTAGAACTGAACTAGAACTGAACTAGAACTGAACTAGAACTGAACTAGAACTGAACTAGAACTGAACTAGAACTGAACTAGAACTGAACTAGAACTGAACCAGAACTGAACTAGAACTGAACTAGAACTGAACTAGAACTGAACTAGAACTGAACTGGAACTGAACTAGAACTGAACTAGAACTGAACTAGAACTGAACTACAACTGAACTAGAACTGAACTAGAACTGAACTAGAACTGAACTAGAACTGAACTAGAACTGAACTAGAACTGAACTAGAACTGAACTAGAACTGAACTAGAACTGAACTAGAACTGAACTAGAACTGAACTAGAACTGAACTAGAACTGAACTAGAACTGAACTACTGAACTAGAACTAGAACTGAACTAGAACTGAACTAGAACTGAACTAGAACTGAACTAGAACTGAACTAGAACTGAACTAGAACTGAACTAGAACTGAACTAGAACTGAACTAGAACTGAAGCAGAACTGAACTAGAACTGAACTAGAACTGAACTAGAACTGAACTAGAACTGAACTAGAACTGAACTAGAACTGAATTAGAACTGAACTAGAACTGAACTAGAACTGAACTAGAACTGAACTAGAACTGAACTAGAACTGAACTAGAACTGAACTAGAACTGAACTAGAACTGAACTAGAACTGAACTAGAACTGAACTAGAACTGAACTAGAACTGAACTAGAACTGAACTAGAACTGAACTAGAACTGAACTAGAACTGAATTAGAACTGAACTAGAACTGAACTAGAACTGAACTAGAACTGAACTAGAACTGAACTAGAACTGAACTAGAACTAAACTAGAACTGAACTAGAACTGAACTAGAACTGAACTAGAACTGAACTAGAACTGAACTAGAACTGAACTAGAACTGAACTAGAACTGAACTAGAACTGAACTAGAACTGAACTAGAACTGAACTAGAACTGAACTAGAACTGAACTTGAACTGAACTAGAACTGAACTAGAACTGAACTAGAACTGAACTAGAACTGAACTGAACTAGAACTAGAACTGAACTAGAACTGAACCAGAACTGAACCAGAACTGAACTAGAACTGAACTAGAACTGAACTAGAACTGAACTAGAACTAGAACTGAACTAGAACTGAACTAGAACTGAACTAGAACTGAACTAGAACTGAACTAGAACTGAACTAGAACTGAACTAGAACTGAACTAGAACTGAACTAGAACTGAACTAGAACTGAACTTAGAACTGAACTAGAACTGAACTAGAACTGAACTAAAACTGAACTAGAACTGAACTAGAACTGAACTAGAACTGAACTAGAACTGAACTAGAACTGAACTAGAACTGAACTAGAACTGAACTGGAACTGAACAAGAACTGTACTGGAACTAAATTAGAAACAATCAAGTATTATTTTCGTATTCCATTATTATTTACCGAGAATCATCCTCTTTCCTAGGCAAAATAATTGTCAAAGATTTTTACTGCCCCAAAATTATGATGTTTTAAATGAACGTGAATGTGTAATCGTTATCAACTACATCAAGAAAAATTTATAGAAAACATTTAAAGAAAACTTGTGTATAAGAGTTTTTTTAAATAACCGCACTCGCTGTGGTGTAAATAAAGAACACACACTCAATGTGAACTAGTCTACTTTACAAACCCACAAACCCTATTATTAATAACCGCTCTCAATGCCTCTTACTGTTTTAAAATACTGTTTAATCATTAAAACTGTTGTGTCGTTAACTTTGTTATCCACTAGCAAACACAACCCTGTTTAATTTGACAACAAAAAAATCACAAATACAACTCTGTGTCTGTGAAAATTAGAGAAAAAACTGTCATTTTGTCATTCCTAAAAACGTCGTCGTCGACGCAACGAAATTATTTTTTAACATACGCAGCAAAAATTTTTATTTTTTGTCTTAAGTTTTTCACTTTTTTGTTAAAGTTTAACATATTTTTTTTTTTTTTTTTGAAACGAAAATTAATAAAAACGAAAACGTCTACTGCTAATATAATTGGAAAATTAAAGTGCGACCATTAAAAATAAGAAAAAAGCTAAAAGAAAAAATAACCTGTGTTAACACTCCAACTAAAACTCGTAATAAATTGTGAAAAAATACTAAAAAATGCAAATGGAATTCTTGTGTTAAATCAAAAAGAATTCAAGTTAGACACACGACATCTTATCTAATAGAAAAATAATATAAAGGAATAGATTCCAAGGTGTAGTGTTTATATATTAATAAGAAAAAGAGGTGTTTTCGTGATCACATAAGCAAGAAAAAAATTATAAAAAACAACTACAACAACAACAACGGAAAACTGGAAGAAAATAAAGTAAAAATAAAAAATGCCATTAAAATTTCTAAAGAAATGTCGACAATATAATGTGACATCAAAAAGTCTATTCGTTATATCAGTGCATCATCTATTGGGTAAGTTGCTGTTGTTGTAATAAATAGATAGACAAAGTCAAGTCATATCATTGGCACTAACTACTGCAGTTTTTCTAAGCAGAATGCTTTAGGTGCGGGGGTGTGATTGTGTGACAAATTCATCAAGCATAATTATTTTTAATTTTTTTTTTTAATGGAGGGCTTCTTTTTGTGGAGTAAAGTTTCTTTAAAGCATTAAAAATAATAAAAGAAAGCTAAGGAATGTTGTCTATAGGTTTTCTTTATTTTTCTTATTTTCCTCTTTCACTTGTTTTTCTCTCTTAAAGCCAGAGTATATTGTTAGTGGATGCATGTGTGTTTTTGTTTTTGGAGTGTGTGAAAAAAGTGCAAGTGCGTTGACGTTTTTTATTTCTCACATTGTTGTTGTTGTTTACTTGCTATTTTTTGTATTTTTTCTCTTATTGTTGTTTTATAGTAGTTTTTTTTATTTGTTTATTTTGCTATATTCCCATTAAATTACATTTTGTTGTTGCTTTTCTTTACTGCCTATGAGTTTGTATGAGTGCGCGTGTGTGTTAAGAGAGTTCGACGCAAAAACATTCCTATCAAATGAATGCGCAAACGCCCATTCGTAGTAATTCGTATGCAGTTTTTTTTTGCACTACACCCTACTATAAATTGGGGAGATTATTTTAAGTTTATGGTAATGTTTGTAACAAAACAAAAAGACAACACGAACTGAACTAGAATTGAACTAGAACTGAACTAGAACTGAACTAGAATTGAACTAGAACTGAACTAGAACTGAACTAGAACTGAACTAGAACTGAACTAGAACTGAACTAGAACTGAACTAGAACTGAACTAGAACTGAACTAGAACTGAACTAGAACTGAACTAGAACTGAACTAGAACTAAACTAGAACTGAACTAGAACTGAACTAGAACTGAACTAGAACTGAACTAGAACTGAACTAGAACTGAACTAGAACTGAACTAGAACTGAACTAGAACTGAACTAGAACTAAACTAGAACTGAACTAGAACTGAACTAGAACTGAACTAGAACTAGAACTGAACTAGAACTGAACTAGAACTGAACTAGTACTGAAGTAGAACTGAACTAGAACTGAACTAGAACTGAACTAGAACTGAACTAGAACTGAACTAGAACTGAACTAGTACTGAACTAGAACTGAACTAGAACTGAACTAGAATTAAACTAGTGAAGATATGTTCCGAATTTCATGTTAAAAAAATAGCAGTCTTAAATCCACTGATGGCTAGTTCAGAAGTTCATAAAGTACAACTGATATGTTTCTTTCAGATATTACAGTCGCCTTAGACCGACTATACTTACTCATATTTTCTTTATTTACCTATCATGTACTTCCATTATATTTTTCCACATTTATTTGTTTATCTTTTAACTCGGTATAGCGTTATTTTTGTAATCGAGAGATTATTTGTATACTTATAGAGATTCACACTCTATCCCAGGCAAATCATCATTGACTATAATTTTTCTGCCCCTAAATGATCGTGTATTAAATGAACGTCAATGAACAGTCATCATCACACTAAAGTAAACTAGGTACTTCAATAATAAATAAAAAATGTTTCTCGTCTAGTAGTAATTCGATATTTTAAGCATGATTACGATATATACTACAGGTGCAACAAAATTTACATTGAAATAAACACGCAAGATAAATAAATAGAAGTTTTAAAATTATTAAAAAATAATTCAACATAAAAATAATTTATCGTAATAAATTTTGTGTTAAAAATTCCATAATTTTTATTGTTAAATACTTTGTGTGTACATTTCTAAAATGTATTTTTATAATCTTTGAGAAAATATGAGCAAAACTGTATTTTTGTGAAGAATTAAAAAAAATCTTATTGGAAAACATTAACAACATTTTTTTGC